ATAATTACTTTCAATTGATCTTGTTTGTCCTTTTCCCTTTTCAGTTTTCTATTGGTTAATCTGGTGGCGTCAGGCCTTTAAAACGAACGGAGCGGATTTCGAGCGGATTTCTACGGCCCCTCATTCCTCCACGTCACCACAGTCTTTGACGGCTTTATTGTTGTTTTCTCCTTCATGCTTTCCTTTTGATATTTGTTTGGAGTGGGGAGCTCCAACCTGCTTTAGGTTTGTTTGGTTGTTCTTTATTATGTTGTTGGGCTCCCCATCTCTGGTCATTTTGGATTTTTTGTTGGTTATGTTATGTTAATAAATAATTTAGCTGGAGCACTTTGGCCGTTGTTTATTATGTTACGTTGTCTTTTGGTCACAAGTCTTATTTAAGTTAGGGACCGTAACAGTGATCTATTTATGATAACAAGTTGGCATGACAATGACAACATGGCGGAACCACTACTGAGCAATTTTTGAACAATACACTTTGTAAATTGTGTGTAAAACAAGTGTAGAAAATTGTATTATATAAAAAAAGCATTGATTGCTGATTTTACCAGCAGAAGTTGTTACTCCACCCTCTTTGCTGGGCATCATTATGGAAGTTTTACATTTTAACTCACATTATTTAAGACTATGGATCTCTGGAAGAGTTTGGGAAGCACATTTCACTATATTGTTTAGTTCCTGAACAATGAATCCTACTATGACAGTTCCGCGGCAATTTATGTAATGATTTGGGAAACACATCAATGGCCATTAAATCTGATCACAGCAGTAGTCTGTCAAAGGAACTTGAACTGTCACATGGTTGAGTGATGAACAGATTTGAAAACTTTGCAAAGCTGAGTTTAACGACCACGTCATGATTTGTCCATATAAAATTATTGTTCCGGCGATACATTAATTTCTTAAATCACTCAGAGAAGAAGTGTCCTTCCTGTGGTCAAGGGCAGTTAATCTCCACTATCTCATGTCATTTTCTTGTTGATGGCTCTCCAATGCTTAATGTCCTAGTAAATGACACCGCTCTAACTGAGCCCCTGACAGCTGTCATAGGGCTTGTAGGACTGCTGGCAGAATCCTGTAATATCCTGCCCATGACACAGAACAAACGACTTTGTCCTACTATAACAAATGTTATTATAGCACTCTCTGACAGAAAATCAAAACATAGAGAGGGAAAAAATATAAAATGCAGAAAGAAACAGCAAGACAGGCACTCAACCCGAGTAATGGTTAGCATATATTATTCTGATTAGCATATATCAGAATGAGGCAAATTTTTGTAGCCTAGATTTTGAAAAGATCTAAAATTGTTGAGATGTTAAATTTTTTTGGAATTTGTTATATGATTAAATGTTAATAAAAAAAAAAAAAAAAGATTTTAGAGGTATAATTAAATAGGTATAGAGCTTTTTGAGATTTACTTTTTCTTCTGGGAAATCCACTACCAATGTCACACGAAGATTGCAGGTATTTTGATACAAACCAGTCTCTCATAACTGTGATGGAGATTGTGTGTACTTATCAAGCTGGTTTGCTTACATCACAACACTCACAACAGCATGCGAACTTGGTTGATTAATGTTTTCAGTAGTTTTTTTTTTTTTTTTTTACTATTAAATGTAATTAGCTTTCAATGCCCGTACATACTGCATCCTGTGTTATTTTGTTTAATTGTAGGGCTTGTTTGGATTATTTTATGGAGAGCTTTGTTAACCACGCCAGTTAAAGACAATTACCTTTTTATTATCCAAATGTGTCTACAAATATTTTGAACTCTAAAAATAAACTAAAATAAAACTTAAGAGTTTCTATGGGCAGTGCCGTGACTTTCTTGTACTGTAGAAATTGAAGCCAACACTGGGACATTTTGGAATCAGTCTGTGCAGTAGTAAACATTAGATAGAACTACGCCATCAAAATCCAGCCCTATCTCCCACAGATCCAATCATAATCACAATATCATGACAAGAAACCACATTTTTACAGCATCAAATAACTGACTTACAATTTAACATACATCAAGATGTTTAGAACTATATAAAATGGTGGAACCCATTTTTATTTTTTGTTATTGTAAATAAAAGGATCTGTTTAGACCTGGGGTCTTGTTTTTCATATGTGGATTACACAGTTAGCTGGTTATTGAAGATTTGACACGATCCATGATCGTTTTGTTCTTCAAAACTCATCCGAGAGTTGTTGTCATAAAAACAGTTCTGGTAGCTCAAACCTGCTCGGGAGCAGGCTCATTTCATATAAACAGGATTAGATCGGTTCATTTTTAAGCAAAGGTATTACTTAAGGTATGTACCAAATTCTAAAATTTTCGTAGAGTAGTAGTTATATACACTTGGGAAAATAGTAAAAATATTTTTAACTATATATATTACATACTATATATATATTGAATTATATTGATATAAACCTTTTAGATACAAACACATACAATCGTTTTAGTACAATTTGTGTATGATAATAAACATGCACAATATGTAAAGTTTTTAAAAACAATAAGACATTTATTCAGTCATAAATAAGTTTTGACAGTTAATATGACAGTGATTTGATGCTTCACAAAAGTTGCAGACACCATTGCCAATAACAAAAATGCTTTTGTGATTTCATGATTTCATAATTTCAAAGAAATTATTTAAAAGAGTCCTTCACAACACACGCAGTGATCACAGATCAGTTTATCCAGACATTTTAATCTGATTCACAAACTTGTTTGAAGAACCAATTTAGCGAAATATTAATTATCAAGATTGAAAGATTCAAGATCTGCCAAATTATCTTAGATCATTTAAGTGAGATATGAAGAACGGACCCCAGGTTGCTTTATGTATTCATATTCATGTATCTGATTTCTGAAAATAATTAATGTAAATAAATGCTACATTCAAATTTAACTTGGTTACTTTGAATAAAGCATCAGATACACTACAAGTTATTTACGTACTATTCTTATTTACAGAAAAGTAAGCTATATTTTATATTCGACATTCAAATTATTTTATATGCAGGCTGTAAAACATTATAAACACACAAAGCAGGCAAGGTAGATCTTGCTTTTACAGAGAGGGAAATAAGTATTGAACACATCACCATTTTTCTCAGATAACATTTCTAAAAGTGCTGCTCGCTTGACAAATGTTTGCTGGATGTTGGTAACAACCAAAGACATCCATATATGTAAAGAAAATTAGTTAAATAAACTTAGTTAATTAAGTTATGCATAACAAAATGAAATGATGCAGGGAAAAAGTGTAAAAAGTCAGTGAAATCCCATCCCAGACAACAGATGAAATCTCTTAATGGTTATTGAGCAGAACAGATTTGATAGATGAGACCCATAGAACCATTCAGATTTTAACACTGTTAAAGTCTGTGAAAAACTCACACCTGAGCCATTTATGTGACGCCTCACCGCAAGAAGTTCGCTGGTTCGAGCCTCGGCTGAGTAAGTTGGCGTTTCTGTGTGGAGTTTGCATGTTTCTCCAGGTGCTCCAGTTTCCTCCTATAGTCCAAAGACATGCAGTACAGGTGAATTGGGTAGGCTAAATTGTCCATAGTGTATGAGGTTGAATGAGTGTGTGTGTGTGGATGTTTTCTAGGGATGGGTTGCCGCTGGAAGGGCATTCGCTGCGTAAAAACTTGCTGGATAAGTTGGCAATTCATTTCGCTGTGGCAACCCTGGATTAATAAAGGGACTAAGCCGACAAGAAAAGGAATGAATGAGTTCAGTGCTTTCTCCTTGTGTCATTCTATTGTTATTACACATAACTAATTTATCAGAGTTGTTTTGTTTTGTTTTTTATCTTTGTATTGTTTGGGGTTTTAGTAAAACCGGGTTCAATTTTATGTAAACATCTCCTTAAGAAATATTATTCCCAGAAAAAAAGCATCACGTGTTTAATACAATTTCCCCCACTGTGTGATGCCCATATAGCCCACAGCATTGCACTCTCACACTCTGTATTTATTTATTTATTGGTGTATTTATTTATTTAATTTTGAGGGGAAGTTTAATTTGCATTTGTGTTTTAGTGATCAAATGCATTTAGACCTGTTTAGGTTAATCAGGAATGCATCTCAGACCAGATATGGTTGTGGCTGGAAGTGAATGAGAATTATTTATATTATTTCCTTAATTTCCAATTTATAGTTTTTTTTTTTTTTTTTTTTTAATGTCAACACCCACCCCAACCCTAAACTCAACCGTCACAGTAACAAAAAAACAGTGGTTGTACCGAATATTATTTGTTATCTATTAAATTACCCAATTAATTGTATTTTTACTAACCATCACAGTACTGTAAAAATCTATTTATTGTTAAGTAGTATTATAAAAAATGCTACTATAATTTATAAGCATATTGCACTTCTAGACAGCCGCAAATCCAATCTAGACTTTACCAATTTACATCTGTCCATATAAATCCAATCAGAAAAAAAAAAATGCATGAAGTGACCAAGTCTAACAGCCTCATAGATACACCACATAGTGGCAACCATTGAAAATCCAAGTCATTTCAAAACTGTTATGAAGAAAGAAAGAACTGCTACCTGAAATGACATCACTGTGTCAAAATAAATGATTCAAAAAGCTTCACGAAACCAAATGCTAAATAAAAATATTTCTGTCATACCACTCTTTCCTGGCCACCAAAGCTCTTTTATGTGACAACTTTAACCCAGATGTATCGTAAAATAACAATGTTTATGCTGCAAACCCTGGGCATAGGCTTCAAAAACCACAAGATATGAATCTGTGATTTATAAGTCTCCAGGGAGTCTAAATTCAATCTGAAGCTGTCATTGAAAGAATGACTATATTCCAGTCAAGGACAGGGTGTAATCGTCATTCTGAATACTGTGAGCTTGCCAGATCCTTCTAGTCTTTGTAAATGTGGTAAACATGTAACCCACTAACACCAATTCTCACTCTATTTACTATGTGTGTCTCTCTATTTCTCTCTCTCTCTCTCTTCCCAATGCAGTTACCATGGAAACTGTTCTGGTCTTCCTTTTTCCCCTTCTAGTCTATGTGGCGGGTAAGTACCCTCCCTTCAGTCCACTAGGATCAGAAAGTATGAAGAAAAAAAACAAAAAACATGACATGACATGACACATTAGCGCCATCCTAGAAGTCTTTTACTGAGAATTTGATCAGTGACCTCTTCAAATCTAAGGGCATGTGTATGTGCATATGTGTGTGCTTTCAGTAGATTTAATATAAAACTGTGCTTATCTTTTCTGTGAATTGCTTTTACATATCTGTAAATGCATGTCCTGATTTGGCCAAACAAACCTAATTTGTAAAACGAGAGCATTTAAATGCGCTTCCATCCATGCCAGTCCTCTGAAAGACTCCACCCAAGCCATAATTAGGCCACATGAACCCACCAGCACATGTGCACTAGATTCATTCTCACACACAGTGCTCTCTACAGTGGTAAAAATGTAATCTTTCTGCTCTGTCAACAAACATGTTGTTGACCACTAAGTGAATGCACCGCTGACTTGTTTTCATTTGCTTATCTTACATAATTTAACAAGGCCTCTTTCTTCTACCCTTCATACTTCGTAAAATCATTTTTTTATGTTTTCATTTTTTTATTTTCCTCCAATAATAATTTGTTCTTCCTTCCTACTTTACTACATTAAAGGTGCTGTATGTTTTTGACTCTTCTAAATCAGGGGTTCCCAAACTTTTCAGCCCGCGACCCTCAAAATGACAATGCCAGTGACTCGCAACCCCCATTATCTTCTGAGGTGGATTTTAAATACAGAAACCTTGCATGCAATGGCGCACACACACCAATAGACCCAAGTCTATTCTTTATTTATTTTTTTAATGTATGACAGTGCTATAAATGAGCAAGAAAGTTTATCCTAGTGCTATACAATCAATCTGCTGTACCTGACGCTATTGACTATTGCTGTGTCTTTAATATAATGTTTTCCAACAGAACTAGTAACTATAAGCTACTAGTAACTATATAGTATAAACTATAAACGACTATTTTTTTTTTTCACTTCAGTAAGTTATGGATAAAAATTGATAATTCATGCTTTAATAGAGTAGATTTTTAGAAATCACCAGATGATCCCCCTTTCATTGTCCCGCAACCCCTCCGGGGGTCCTGACCCCCACTTTGAGAATCACTGTTCTAAAGCATAAAAACACCATGATTTAAGAAACATGCCCAGTGAACATACATTTTCATCTGAAAAACAATGCTGAAGTCAAATATTCTGCTTTGAAAATGTGCTTTCCGTGCTGGAACGTCTGTGTTTGTTTTGGTCATTTAATCCGCCAGTTTACCAACAGTTTAGCCAATTATATCTTAGCACCCCGTGTGACTCATTCAGTCATGAAGGCTCTTAAATCACGCATACGAGAATGAAATGTGACCTCTAGTTGACAGCAGCAGACTCTGAAATGAGCAAAGATTCAGTTCCACATGAAGTTATTGATTAGCAAATAACATAAATATTACGAATGTAAACATTAGGTGAGCAGGTTACTTTCTAACCCTCTGTCCTAACAACACGCTGATGTGATGAGATAAGCAGTAATAAGCAATTTGGCTGTTTGCACCAGACAAAACACAACAGAAATTTAAATACAGTCGTTTAGAAGCACAGAATGGTACACTTACTGCACTCCAACAAAATGATAAGCTTTATAATCCAATTAATACACATTAAACATCTTTAACAGCATTAAATGTACATGCTGAATAACTGATATGTGCTAAATTTCAATTTCAAACGGTTTATTTTAATTTTTAAGATCTGAGGTGACCTGCTGCTGCTTTCAGTAGTATGGCAATAAATGTCATCTAAAATGGCATCCAAACTCACATTATTAGCATTTAAAACTGAATAAAGCACATGATGTGTATCTAAGGAGATCATTGTCCATTTTCTGTTGTGCAAGAAATAGAAGCCATTTCTAAAATATAAATTTCAGGGGTTGGCTAGAATATAAACTACTTTTAATATGGAAAATATTCCTTCTATTGAGTGCCATTGTTTTTATTTAGAACACGGTTTAAATCAGCCTTAAATTAGCCTTTAAGCTAGATAGACATAATTCTGTTGATGTTGTCAATCTGGCAACTTGCTCTTGTGTGTGTTTTGAACCAGGCATGCAATAATTAATCAACCACTAGATGTAAAACGTACATACTGCACCTTTAATTTATGTCTTCCTTCATTCATGTCTTTTCATACATTAATCATAGGGTTGGGTATTGTTTGGGTTTTTTCAATACTGATGACAAATCAATACTTAAAAAATAAATAAATACAAATAATGGTGACGGTGCCAAAATTGCCCCTGAACAGATATTAAAAAAAAATAATAATAATAAAAAAGGCCACACAAAGATAGCTCGCTGAAACACACACACCTGTTTAGTGTACAAAATAAATTTTACTGTTTACATTCCTATACTCAACTACAAATCTTTTATGCTCAATGAATTTTTTTCCATTAATTAAAAAAACAACAACAACAACAACAACAACAAATTTATCACACCTCTAAATCAAACTGAAACCTGAAATCAAACACCTTAATCTAAGGCACGTGTGTCAAATCCAGTTCCTGGACAGCTGCAGCCCTGCACAGTTTAGCTTTAACACTAATTAAACACACCTGATCAAACTAATTGAGTCCTTTGGGCTTATTTGAAACCTACAGGCAAGTGTGTTGAAGCAAGGTTGGAACTAAACTATGCAGAGCTGCGGCCCTCCAGGAACTGGATTTGAAACCTGTGCTATAAAATTGTGCTATAATTATTATTATTTATTTATCTATTTATTTTGCATTTGAGTTCTTACAGAACAATAATTGATACAAATAATTGTGTTTCTTACAAAGAAACATAACAATTTAATGTATTTTATGTCAGAAAAGAGGCTATTCATATGACTTGATTTGATTTAACTCTTATTTCTTTTAAAGGAGGAAATTTTATTTCCTCCAAAATTGCACCCCTAAACCTTATTACGGGGTGAGCAAATTAATGTAAAATGTATGAATTAGATCATACAAATTAATATGAATCAGTAATAAATAAAATAAATAAAATATTTACAAATTGCCATGAGATTGTATTGGTTTTAACCCAGTTTTCCCACTTCCATGGCATAGACGTTTCAACAATGGTATGTATGTGAAACTTTTAGAATCCACCAAAATAAATATATTAATTTAAAAATAACATGATGGTTGTCGAATGGATGTAGTCTGAGTTCCTAGAACTATACAAGGTGAAGGCCCCCCAGTGAAACTTCATTTATTAAGGGATCAGAGGCAGTAGCTTGTCTTTTTATCACAATGTGCAGCCGATGAAGTGACACCCTGCTGATGCAGCATATCTAAATGAGATCTTAAAGCAATTTTCTACAGTATTTGCTGTAACCAATTAAACTATTGTGATTATCTCCAGAATACCGTTTAAAGGAATAGTTCACCATAAAATGGAAATTACTACATCATTTACTCTCCCTACAGGTTTAGGGTGGAGATGTGGATTCTCCATGTTGACGATCAAAAAGTCCACCAGATATATGAATGTTGACCATTCATATATTTCTACAGTACTGATAATAGCTATGTGAGCCTAAAATTTAGATTATGTGGATTTAACACACCATTTAGAAAACAACAGCAAAACAACTGTATATATCCTAGGGCTGGGTGACATTGAATAAAAATAAATATCACAATATCATAATTCATATCATTTATTATCTATAATTATTGAATACTTTTTAACAATCCATGATTTTGATTTTATGATTTTTTTTTTATTTAACCAGTTTATTTTCATTAACCACCATTGCTAAGGTAGATCGTTTTAATAATCAAAAACAAAACTATTTAAACAAAATATCTTATCTCATCATAATAAAATAAACATAAGTGTTAAACTTTATAAATAAAATGCTACAAAGTCTGTGCAATGGTAAAGAGTAAATACTAAACAGTCAAAGCAAACTGTAAGGTATCAGCATCTGTAAGGTGTGAATAATAATGATACAGTAAACCTCTGTTAACAAAACAAACTATGAAAATCAAATCTGAGCTTTCAAGTAATGGAACTAACCACCATTATTCAAATAAATATTGCATAGTGGCTGGGATGCACAAGAAAAAGAAACCAAAAAGCCACTTCAGCGACATCCTTACATAATAATTTTATTTACAATCATATCTCCTCACTGCTGCTTGCAACGGCACTCATTTTTGCATGCAAACCATTGCTGCTGCTCTGATACAAGTTTAAGGACAAATATAAAATGCACTGCAGTGTTTAGTTGCTCTGTGTTTGTCTGAGGTAATTAATCTACTGTTATTACTGAAATGTGTATATTCTATACAAAGTGTGAAGCAGATTGGTTACTTCTACACAGCACTCATGTGGCATTCTGGAAAAGTTCAGATTTTTTTGCACACCATGTGCACGTTGCTCGTTATGCAAATGTGCGTGCCTCCATTGTAAATGACAAATTTACACCCAAAGTTTATTGGCATTGCTTCAAGGCACGTGCCCAGCAGCCACATTTTAATAAAACTGTAGCCTTCCTACTGAAACTTCATACCAAACTTCTTTTATCGTTATTGACAATGGTGTACGGTCAATAAATACACATACCGATTTCAAAGCCCAGCCATAATATATAATTTCTGTCTATTTTTATAACATTTTCAGCATGGCTTCTCATAATAATTGCATCATATGGAATGAATGTTATGAATGGTTCAAAACATCTTAAATCAGTACTTTCAGATTTGTGTCTTTCATCTTGCAATTTGTTCTAGAAGAACATAAAATTAACTTACCAATAATGTCACAACTTCTTATCTTGTACAATTCGCATAAACAATTGTTGCATACATGTTCTTAACAATCAAATATTCAGTTATTTCACAACTTTATTATTATGCATCCGCCTACATTAAATACTTTTATTCTCGTATTACACTCATTTTTCTTTATTTTCGCTTAATATGACTATATTCCTTCATTTTCTTTGACTGTCCATTCCTCCACATAATTCTAACCTTTTTTACAAGTTCCCATACTTCTATCCTTTCTTTATTTGTTTCTCATATAACTTACATTTTTTTCTATCAACGTTTTTTTTGCCAAGTTTCTTTACATTTTTCCTTCAGTATGTTTTGTACATTATACATTTTGTGATTCAGTTTACACTTCCTATCTTTATTTTTTTTTTTTTGTTTATTTGTTCTCATAAGGTTCCACTGACCTTGCTTTTTCCATTTCAGCTCTGGTGTGAAGATGAGCACAGTTTTTACAGCACATACGCTGTACATCCCTGTGTGAATAGAGAGATAAAACACCTAGACATACTGAAATTTCTTAATGTTATATAAAATAATCAAAAGAATTATAATTGACATTTAGTAATATAAACATGTTAAACTATCAACTTAATAATCCACTAATCAAATGTCATATTAAGATTCTTGTTACTGATGTTGGGTGATATTTGATACATTAAGCTCCCAAGCTTGTATTTATAACAATCTTTTCATTCCTTAAAAGCATATTCCAGCATTGATGGTGATTCTAGGTTAGTTTATCATTAACTCCATTTTATCATAACAAACAGTGTACTGTACATTAAAACAACTTTAAAGCATGAATCCCAGTCTAGATTGTTTAAAAAAAATAAAAATAAGAATTAAACCATATTATGAGTACTAAAAGGAAATTACATCGGTGAGAGGTTAATCTTTACAACAGGGGTCTTAAACTCAAATTGGTGACATTCAAGCACAAGAGAAAATAAATCTGATTTAGTTGATGCATCTTAGGATAACAGACATGACGTTTATATTTCAAGCGCATCACCTGTCACCAGTGATAATGCAAATCAGCACATTTATTATGTCACAGATCAGGTGTGAAAAAAGTAAAAAAAAAAAAAATATATATATATGTATATATATATATATATATATATATATATATATATATATATATATATATATATATATATATATATATATATATATATATATATATATATATATATAAATATATGTGTGTGTGTGTGTGTGTGTGTGTGTGTGTGTGCGTGCGTGCGTGCGTGCGTGCGTGCGTGCGTGCATGTGTATGGCTGAACTTTAGACACACGCTCAGTCATTCTTTCACAGACTAGATGCAGTCAAAAGTCTAGCTTTTTGTTTCTTGTTGTACATATTGGAGGGGTCATTTAAATTATTATGAAAATACTACAAATGATAATAATTATTATTCTGTCCCAACCAATTGTATTGTGCAATAGCGTAAGAACAGCAGAAAGCCATTTGGGAAACTTATGTGGCAATTGTTCTTCTCGATATCTTTCTTCTTTTTTATAAAACTACAACAAAGAGAAGAAAAGTATGTACATATTCACATTTACTTTAACAAGTTCAATTTAACCAGCAGTACAATGTTACTAATGTACATAGTTTTTAAGCAAACCTTAATAAGCATATGATGAAAATCTATTAAATGAGACCATTTGAATGGAATATTAGCAGAAATATCCTATTTACACCACCAGCATAAGCCATATAGAAGTGTTTTTACATAAAATACAAGCGGTATAAAACGGATAATAATCAAATGACCCTTGAATATTTAAAATAATATAGCTTTAGTAAAAATAGAGCACTTATGGACATATATTTTAACGATTAAATCAGCCACACAGAAGTAAAATGCATGTGTGTTACTCTCGGCAGCACACTGAGAGAAAATGAAAGTAAAACTAAACCGAATGTAGTACTATAAATGTCGACTAGGTGGCGGATCAAAACCACAAGTGGCTAGATGAAACTGCACAATGATAGTAGTGATGTCTTGTCAAAAAGAGATGTCTTGGTGGGCCGAATTGCATTATATTTTTTTATGTTAGTTGTGGCCGGAAGGAGGACATGGGCAGGCTGTAAATCGCCCACAGGCTGAGAAGGGTCTGGCTGCAGAGTTACACTTGCATCGTCAGGCTTGTACTCTCAGGCTTGTACGCTCAGGCACCCACACTTCCTATGCAAGTGACGTCATTTACAATCGACACCTGCACCTGTCACCTCACTTGAAATCAACACAAATAAACCAAAAGTAAGTTTTCAGTTCAGTTCATTTGCGTTGACAGTGACGATGTTGTCAAATAGTTCTAAGTACTCGAGTTGTACACCATGACTGATCTTTCACCCCCGAAAAGCAATTAGTAAATTCATCATATGATTAGATGCTTTAATGTAAATTTACCAAAGCACGCTACTATTAACATCCATACCAGCAAAGCTTATTATTTATTTATATAAACTAATAGTTTTTATTTTAAACATTTTAAGGAGTTGTAGTATTACAACTAACAGATAAAGTACACATAATGGTCTTACAGCAATGATTATTGAATGACTTGGGAAACTATTCTTTATAACTATTCTTAATAAGTTAGCACGTCTGCGCAGGAATGCATCCATATGAAATCACAGTTGCAGTGCAGCTTCAACAGTCTCTACATGATCTCAGCCCATTGTTATAGGTCCTCCAAACATAATGTCGAGATCGACTCGATAAGGGAACATCTTCACTCACTTAACGGAAAGAAAGCGACACATGATGTGTAATATTACTGCAGAGCTGTTTTAAGACAAGCATTCGTGGTTCTTTACGATCTGTTTACGCAACTATAGCAACTGCAGCGCCCGTCGTCATATGTTGCCAAAAACTACAGTGAAAGCTTAGAAAAAAAGGCACTTGAGTAAGGGTGACAGATAAGAAGATTGTTGCAACAACCTTGATGAAATTCATTACCTCAGAGATTTTTCCGCCTCAGGGACACTCTTGAGTAAAATTAATAAAGGACTTTCATGCCAGCAGCCACAGGTGGCGATTGTAAACGACGTCACTTGCAGAGGAATCATGGTTGCCTAAGCATGCAAGCCTGCCGGTGCAAGTGCAAATCTGCAGCCTGACTCTATAGCACAGGCCTGCAGTTTGAGACCCCTGCTTTACAACTTTTTCTTTTAACCTCACAGGCATCGATTTGGTCTAATGACTTTCTTAGAGTTTGATATACAGCAAATTGTATTAACCATGTCAAAAAACCCTATCATTATCCCTGAATCACACTGCACATTTATTAGATGATTTCATTTTTTCCCATTATGCATCTAGCTTAGAGCACTGTGATCTTTCTAAACAAGCTAAAACACCCACCACAAACAAACAGTCTGCTTTCAGTTATTGGATGTTCTCGTGAAAATGTTTCAGTTTTTCTCATTTCTCATCATTGTTTCTGCTCTCTGTATTGATCTCCTGTCCTAGGTTTGTCTGACTCTGCTCCCCAAGGCAAGTTGTAATGCATTTTTTTCCTATGTGCATTAATACATCACTGTGTATTACCAATGATTCAATTCAGTGTTTAATTTTTTAACTGTTTCCTATCAGGGGAAAAGGGGAAGGAACTGAGCCCATTTGGATATGGTAAGAATCAATACTTACAAAAGCGTGCACACACACACACACACATACCTTATTTACTAGCAACACTCAAACATTAGGATATCAATTATTGGGTTACAATCCCTATAAATTGTGCCACCTATATAGTCACACTTAATATATAATACAATTCAACTGTGTCATCCGAATGAAATTACATCCTGCGGATGCAGCATATCTAAATGAGATCTTAAAGCAATTATCTACAGTATTTGCTGTAACAAATTAAAATATTATAATTATTTCTAGAATACCATTTTAAGGGATAGTTCACCATTTATTAATCATTTACATTGTTTAAAGCAGTGGTCCAGAGTGTACTTTTAAGGCTTGGTTGTGTTTATAAGGTGCAAAAAAACAAAACGAAACAAAAAGTTACTTAAAAAAATTACTTAAATTATTTACAGCTATTATTTACATCATATTTTCTAGTTCCTCTGAAAGGCCCGTCCTCAAGAGGCTCTGATTGGTAAGCAAACATAATGTGCTTTGATTCACAGATCGGCTCTACCTCACCCGGAAAAGTGCCATGACCCTACAAACATACAGTTTTGTGCTGTGTAAACACAGTCAGTCAAAGTAGCGGTTAGCAGTATCAGTTTGTGCCTGAATCAGACAGAAAATGGACACAGAGGACACAGCTGAACATCACACCTACTCTTTAAAATAAAATATTTTTATTTGACAAGTGTCTTTAAAATATCGTCACCTTAGAATTATAAAATTATTCTATCTGACATTTTTGTCAAAATTAAGTTAATGACATAGTCTTAATAAATGATAACCTTTTTACATGATGTGATGTTTTTTTTTACATTTTAAGACTTTTTATTAAAAAAAAACAAAAAAGGTTTTATCTACAAAGCCGACCTCTAGCCTGCATTTCAAATACACACACACACACACACACACACACACAAGGACCAATCAGGATCAGCTTTCTTTGTCTTTTCACCAGACTGCTCCATTGAAAGAGGGAAAGACCAAATAGACACACAAAACTACTTAAGTCAACTTAAATCACTAAAGATGACTAAATAATGCTGCACCACACAAAATTGAGAAAAAACCTGAAAAGATGTGTTTAAATGTGATGATTTAAAAGCATTTTGTTTTTACATTTTACATTGAGATGAAATTTGAACTTGACTTTATTGTAACAGAAACACTTATTTAAAAAAAATAATAAATGTGAAATATTTTACCAAATTAATTACATAAAATTAACATCTGCACTGGATAAAATATTTAGCACAGCCTTGCATGCTTAATTTTAAAAAGAAAAAAATATATTCATCCTAAAACATAACAATAAAGGTTATAGAAAACAAAAATGTAACTCTCAAGCATAAACATGTTGTTACAACACCAAATTATATATTATTTTGATTGTATTTCTTGAAAAGTAGTCCTTCAATTAATGATCTGCCAGATAGAACCTTATAGTTCCCAGCGGAAAATGACTTTAGAATTAGAAAGTTCTATCTGCATTTGCCCTGTGTTACAATGACCAGCTATCGCTCTCCGGAGATCGCTGATTCCCACTATAATCATGGACTACACTTCCTCCTTCCTCTGGACTACATATGCATACATGCTCTCCGGTCACACTCACGCCTGCTCACTCATCTAAACTGATTACACTCGCATCACCTGAGAACTTTCAGAGACTGATTATACACCCTTCATAAGCCACTCATTCACCCATCCAGTTTGCCAAGTCTTGTTATCTTTCACAGTAGCATTACAACACGATTCCCAGTCTTGTTATCCTGTGTACCGACCATTAGCCTTGTTAGCCTCTTTGTCTTTGCCTGCCGCCTGCCTTACTGATCTCTTGCCTGTATTCGACTGTGATTCTGGATTGTCTCCTCAGCCCTGTTTGCACCTGTGTTGACCATTGCTTGCCTAACCACGAATAAACCGGCATTTGGATCTTACCTTTTTTAGTGTATGTGTCAACCCCTTCACAACACCCTGTTTGTTTTACCCCAATTTGCAAATGTAAGAGCATTTTGATAATTTACATGTAGAGTACATTTAGGGTCTCTGTCATGTTAATGTATGAAAGAGAACTGTTACACACATATTGTTTGCTGTATGGAATGCAAAAAAACTTTGAAGCTCAATATCTCAAAATCCTTCAGAATGCAGATAGAACCTTATAATTCTAAGGTGACAATATATTCGATTTATAAGCAAGTGTAAGTCATATGAAACGTTCACATATCTTTTACTAGTTTGTTATTTGACATTTAGAACATATGGAAAGTAGCCGCATAAAGAAACACTGCAGCGCTGTTTAGGATTGTGGGTGTTTACAACGGTTTGACTGGTAAATATGAATTTGTAGCTAAATTGTTACCATGCTAAACAGCATTTCCCAGTGTTTACATCCTTGTTTGCATCCTTGCTACAAGATACCTTTGATGCTAGAAACTGTGCATGTAATAGATCAATTTTAACAAATAAAACACTTACAGGTTGTGGCTCACAATCCACAGATTTGTCTATTATAGTTGAAGCTGCTCCATTGAGGAGTTTTTAGCTGAATCCAGCACTGAACTGGGAGAGATCCTAGAAGCTGTCCTTTGTCAAATGCTAGCTATATCTTTTTTATAATTATCTAGAACATAGTTAAAATTAAATTGTAAGCACTTCTCTGTTTGTATCATGCCCTATGGAAGCCCAATACAGAAACAGAAAAATCTCTGTGGAAAAACCAGCATTTGGACGACATTTTAGCTTTCTCTGCTATAACATTACATCGCCCCTTTGCTAAGCATGGGATATGCGCATAACCTGAAGCATTTGTGATCTCACTAGCCTGGATATTTTTTTTTTTTTTTTAGTCCCTTAACTTTGTTTGCTGTAGGCTTTGCTAAGCTAACTCTGGAAAAGCCAATATCTCTCTTTGCATTGAACTTTGAACATATTACATTCAGAGATGTTGTTTATGTTCACACAACTATGATATACATTAACTAAAGTTTAAAATATGATATCATAGTGGACCACCACTTTAAACCTTGATGAGTTTCTTCTGTTGATCAAAAAAAAAAAAAAAAAAGAAGATGTTTTGACGAATGCTGGTTGCTGGAATCTATCTACTTTGATAGTAGGATTAAAAATACTAAGTCAATGGGTGCCAGCTACCAACATTCTTCAAAATCAGTTATTCTGTGTTCAACAGTAAGAAAAGGAACTTAAACTGGTCTTGAACTATTGAAGGGTGAGCAAATGATGGCAGAATTTTTTTTTTTTTTTTGTATTAGGAGGAACTCCCTATAAAATGTGTAGGCTCTTTGAAATTTGATGAACTTCTTAATTATTTGAAGAGACTTCACTTTATTATGGTACCATGGTATAATTGTATCATTCTGAGAATGCATTAAATCACCATAAACATAGGTCAGTGCACAACATGAGGCAAAATGGGCTACACAACATCACTCACAGCACAATTTTAGATTTGACCTCATCAAATAGTGAGTGTACAATAGTGTAAACACTAATCGTTCTTGATACATCCTTGCTGACAGTGAAAAACCGCCTACTGACCTGTCAATCAACTATTTAAATCTAGAATTATAATATCACATGTGGTATAGGGTCACAAAAGTGGAATGATCATATCACATTGCTCTCTTGTCAAACTTCAAGATATACAGAAAAGAAAGGTTATAAAGGGAGAAAAGTTATGAAACCATCACAGCCGACACTAGATCAGGCTGTCCAAACAATCTGAACAGCAAGAGGGGCAGTTGTCAGGGAAGAAAACAAGAGGCCAGTTCCATCACTGACAGAACACCAGTGCTCTTGGCTGCCCAGAAATCAACAAGCCCTTCAGCTTTGACTGGTTGAAGAGTGGCTGGAGGCAAGACTCTTCTGCCACAATTGCAACATCATGCCTGGATGTCTTCAACATCTTTCCACCCGTCCGTCCATCTGTCTGTCAATCCCCCCCTAACATCCACCTATCCAGTCATCTATCCATCCATATATATATATATATATATATATATATATATATATATATATATATATATATATATATATAATCTCTATCAGAGGTCGCTTTAACTGAATATTTTCCGTCATTGACAGATTTTTTTCAGCAGTGACGGAAAAATCTGAAAGTGATCCGTCATTTTGACGGATTATGCTGTGAGGGATCGATTGTAATTTGTTGCTAACTGTAATTCCCACCCCTGTCCAGCTGATGGCGATTATCCTTGTTTTGTCTCCTCTTGTCACCGCTGTGTAGTTGCAAAAACAGACAAACCTGTCAACAACACAATCTTGTTTTTCCCAGGAGTCTCCTGTATTTCAGACCCATCTCCCGCATCGTTCTATCTCCCAGGAAACTCCTGGAATTCCACCACCTCCCCCCGCTCTTCAGCTTTTTGGTACGGTCCCCATGCGCACCGAACACAAAGCGCAACCGTGCCCATACCTGCTCCGCGCCTTTCAGTTCGCGTGCACCACACCTACCACCTACCCCTTCCGCTCTTCACTAGCTGAAGTAGCTCTAGCAATTCCGGTCTCCAGTGTGGCAGCAGAACGCGGCTTCAGCCTCCAGAACAAAATAAACTATCCGGAGAAGTCGACTTTCCGAGGCAAAGACACAGAATTTAATGACAATTGCCTCTGCATCAGTCTCCCTTGATGCGCCTGATTACACACAGGCAAGCACCCAGTTCAGGTTGACGCAGGAGGAAGATGAGTTAAGGCAGATAGGAGTTTTTGTTTGTTTGTTAAATAAATAAATGAATAATTTAGCCTATATGCTCGTCGTGCAAGTTCATTATTAAAATATGAATGAAAAAAGCGATTAGAAAATAATTAAATGCTAATTAAACGACGGTCAATAATAGGTTATGAGGGAATTTTTACAACCCTCTCCGTCAAAATGACAGACAAGAGAAAGTCTAACGCGACCTCTAATATCCATTCATTCTATACATCCATCATGCATCCACCTATCAATACAACTTTCCATCCACCCATCAATATATACATCCACCATACATCCACCTATCAATTAATCAGTCCATGAATTTATCCATTCATTTAACCACCCACCCATCTATCCATAGCATTTATCTATTCATCCACCCATGCATTAATCATACTTCTCTATTCCATGTACCATCCATCTATTCATTGTCTGCCCATCCATCCATGCATGTACTTATTTATGCATCTACCCATGTGCCCATCATCCTTTCATATATCCTTGCACCATCCATCTATTCCTTGTCTTTCCATCCATCCATGCACTTATCTATTCACCCTTGCATCCATCATACTTCCATATACAGTATCAATGTACTATCCATGTATTTCTTGTCTGTCTATCCATCCATCTACTCATGTATCCATCATACTTCCATATATCTAAGCACCATCTATTCCTTGTCTGTCCATCCATCCATCTATGCATGCATTTATCTATGCATCTGTTATCCATCCATCCATCCATCCATCATCCATCCATCCATCCATCCATCATACTTTATCCATCAATCCATGCATGCATTTATTTATTCATCTACTCATGCATCCATAATTCTTCCATATATCCATGTACCATCCATCTATTACTTGACTGTATATCTGTCCATCCATCCATCCATCCATCCATCCATCCATCCATCATACTTCTATATTTACATGTACCATCCATCCATCCATCCATCCATCCATCCATCCATCCATCCATCAATCCATGTTTGCATTTATCTATTAATCTACCATGCGTCCATCACACTTCCATATACAACCCGGGCTCATTGTGGAAATGTGGCCCCGCGGACGTTTCTGCAGACCGCGATTTACGTCCCGGGAGGTACGTATTCGAGCGTTTTTTTTGTTTTCACGGATCCGCGAGAGGCTGCTGTGCGCGCTTTTTCGCGTCTCAGGCGGGCGCCTCTCGGGGGCGCACCATTCTCGCGCGAAAAGCCGCCGGATCGGGGGAAAAAACAAAAAACAAAAGCCCTTGTCATCGATTTCGACCACGTTTTCGGATCCCGCCGCGTTCTCGCCCTCATTTTTCAGATTCCGTTTTTTGTCTCACCTAATTTCCGGAACCTGCTGTTCCCCGGACTCGATCCCGGTCGTCGTCCACCGCGGCCGGCTCCGGCTCCTCCTCCTCGTCCGGGGCCTCCGCTCCGCCGACGCAATGCTGTGAGCTAGACGGACAAACTGATTGCGTCGGGAAAGCCCTCCACTCGGAGACGAGCTGTCGGCCGGCGAGCGCGAAGAGGAGGGGCGGAGCGGCGCCACACCGCCCCGCAGCGTTCGCTCGAAAAAAAACAAACGCGGCCTTTACGTACCTCTGGCCACGTAAATCGCAGTCTCCAGAAACATCCGCGGGGCTACGTTTCCAGAATGAGCTTGGGTTGTCCATATATCAATGTATTATCCATGTATTCCTTGTCTGTCCATCCATTCATCCATCCATCCATCCATCCTTCCATTCATTTATCTATTTATCTACTCATGCATAATCATTCTTCCATATATCTATGCACTATCCATCTATTTCTTGTCTGTGCATCCATCCATCCATGCATGCATTTATCTATGCATCTATCATCCATCCATTCATCCATCTATACTTCCATATATCCATCAATCCATGCATGCATTTGTCTATTAATCTAACCATGCATCCATCATTCTTCCATATATCCATGTACCATCCATCTATTACTTGTCTGTTTAACTGTCCATCCATCCATCCATCCATCCAACCATCCATCCATCCATCCATCCATCCATCATACTTCTATATATACATGTACCATCCATCTAACATCCATCCAACCATCCATCCACCTATACATACATCATTCTTCCATCCAACCATCCATCCATCATCCATCCATCCATCCATCCATCAAAATGTCCACCCAACAATTTATACATTCATCTTTTAATAAATATTTCCATCCATACATCAGTCAGTCCATTCATCCATGCATCAATCAATATTTCCACCCATCCATCATCCATCCATCCATTCAAATTCACCCTATTTACTTTCTTAATTTAAATTACTTTATTATAAAATTTACTAATGCATATTCCTTAACATAATACGCTACCATGTTATACTGCATTCATAACACACTATTATTATTATGTTTTTGTCTCTTGAGTCTTTCTTGAATGATATATCTGCAAATTGAAATGCTTTATCTCTTATCCAGACTATGAGAGTTTGAGGATCAGGGGCTTGGCGTTCGCCGTTGTGCTGTTTGCTCTGGGAGTGCTCCTTATTCTCAGTAAGAAATATATTACTTTGAAATTACTGTGGGGGGGGGGGGGGGGAAATGAGATTACAGCACAATAGCTAAACTAAGCAGCCTCTCATAAAATATAAATTATGAAGCAGTGGCTTTTTTTAACTGAGCATGGGATGAAGCTATATCGTGAAAATAGAGATGAATGAGTAAATGTCACACTTGGTGACAGAGATATCAATGAAGCCATGCAAGCTATTAACATCTCAGGAATAGCATATGTAAAGAATTATTATCTCCTGTTATCCCAGTCATTATCCCAGAATAAATCCTGACAGGTAATTTGTATAGTTTGATATTCATCAGTTTGATCTAAATTGCTTTGCTTGTGTGCAGGCCGCAGATGCCGCTGCAGTATCAACCAGAAACCCAGGTTAGTCCTACTCAAACCTCTATGAAACTCTGTCATTATAGTAACAAGGGATTTGGTTGAACAGAAAAAAAGTTTAAGCCACTATAATTGTTCATAGAGTTAAATAGGTATGTTTACATGCATTTAAGTTTAAAAAACACTTTTTTTCTTAAAATGTACATTGTATCTTCAACCCCCATTCTCACAGTGTCTAAAAAAGTTTATTTAAGTATTGGGTCTCTGTAAATCTCTGCTTTCCTGCTCTGATTGCTCAGCCTGTTGTGATTGGTCAATTACGGAATGGGTCAGAAACCAAATGCTAATTTCCATACCCAAATTGTACAAATTTCAACACATCTGTTTGAGTACAAATCGCTGTCTTTTGAAAGTAGGCGTAATGTGCAATATTTTGGCATGTTGACAACATGAACCAAACTTTGCTTGATACAAAATTGACTGCAGTGTATAAGACTTTGGGGGCAGTTTATTCAGAGTACATATTTATTTTCCAATGCACTATTTTTCTATTGTTTTTCTAAGTAATCATGCTTGTGAGATGTATGTGACCCTTACACTCATGTCTCACATCTTTTGAAGCACCACGCATGCAAGCACCTCATTTTTTAGACACTATGTATAGATCTTAAACTTTTTACAGCCAGTGCTGCTGATCAATATCAGTTACAAAGCAGTGAACCATTCAAAAGAACTCTAAGGTGTGATAATCCTTGTAAGATTGTTTACAGGCATTCAGTGTCCAGATAGCCTCTCACTTTATGCTGATTTTTTTCAAACCATTCCTGAGCACTAAGTCGCGCAATTTTAGAAGCAAAGATGTGTTTGAGCCCTTATTCTGCAAAAACAACTGCTTGTATTATTTTATCCCAGTTATTTCATGGGTATTGTGGTGCTTCCACAAACCAATAAAAAGTAGGCACTTTAAATAAAATAAAACCAATAAAAAGTAGGAACGCTATGTTCTGAGGTGTAATAGTTTTAAAGTGCAGTTAATAGTGCAGTTAATAGTTGTAAATTTGTACTAACCTACATATTTAATCCAAAAATAGCATCAAACTGTCAAAATGAGTGATGTGACAGACAAGTGTATGGATATATTAGATTAGATTCAACTTCATTGTCATTACACATGTACAAGTACAAGGCAACGAAATGCAGCTTAGGCCTAAGCAGCAGTGCAATAGTAGCAAGTGCAGGATATAGGTATAAGTTATAAAGTGCAGTTATAGTGAAACTATGGTGATATTTACAGATGGATGTACTATGAACATTATATAGAGGTTGTATTAGCTATAAGCAGAGGTTTACAATAACTGAATATAGGTACAGATTGCTATTAGTAATCGAAAGTGTCCATATAGTTAAATTTATAAGCATATAACATGTTCACTGAGAGTCAAGATAAGTGAAGTTTATTTTTAAACTAATTTCGAGAGGATCACTTGCTTATGATTGACCGGAGCTGGTCCCACATTAGCTAACACATGATTTACCAATCAGATGTTCCATACCACAGTCGTCTTCGTTTTGAAGAAACCCCCATTCTATCCCTGTCTCCTTTCCTAGATTGGCCAGCTTGGAGGCCCAGCGGTTAGCACTGTTGTCTTACAGTAAGAATGTTACTGGTTTAAGTCCTTACCAGGCCAGTCGACATTTCTGTATGGTGTTTACATGTTCTCCCCATGCTCGCTTGGGTTTCCCCCAGGTCCCCCGACTTCCTCACACCATTCAAAGACATGGGACTAAGTTAATTGACTAATCTAAATTGGCACCATAGATGAGCTCCTAGACAGCAGTATAGCAATCCCAAATTTGTCATTAGCCATAAACAGCAATGGAGTTCTTGAGATCTAAATGAGCTCAAACTTGCCCTGCAAACGGGAGGGAGCCCCAAGCTTGAGGATCTTACAAGCTCATGGCTCCCTCCAGGGACAGCATGCTAAACACACTTTATAATCAATCATCAGCTAAGTGTGGACTCTTGAAATATTCGTAGTTACCAGAATAACCCTTGTTATTAGTTTCAGTGGTTGTAATCTGGGAAAAGCATACCTTGTAATTAATAAACAGAAGTATGCAACACCCGTGCAGGTTTGTTCAGGAACTAAGATTGGAATTGCTGATCAGTTGTTTTTGATCACGAGTTCATTTTTTGTGAGACAAACTTTTTATCACGCACTTTGAACAACTATATTACACATTATATCAAGTGGAATTTCCAACTTGACACCATTGGGGCACTTTAACCTAAGGTATATTTTATATTTTCTCAGGGCTCCAGGAGATGAAGAAGCCCCAGCAGAGAATCTCATGGTTTCCAAGAGTAAGACCGAGTGTTATTTTCACTATTTTTGGTAATTTTGTTTTTTAAACTGAACACTTTATAACTTCTATTTATTTCACTCTTTCTTGCTTATAAAGCCAAGGAGACTCCTACAGCAGAAAACTGAAAGAGACCAGGTACAGCAACTATCCTTATGAAAATGATTAGAGAATCAAAATGACTGCTCGATTTTGTCATGTCTGCTTCTCTATTTGTTTGCAGTGTTGTTAAACACATAGCCATGGTTGAACAACTTTACTAAAGCTGAGGATGGTGATGATGATGAAGCTGATTCCAGACCATGGCTATGATTGCAGACAGAGATTTTGTGGGAGGAGGAGACTATGACTTGGATTTTTAATGGGCCAGTGTCTTGTACGTAGACCTCTAGTCCTGTCATGTGAAATCAGTATCTGTATCCGTCTTTCCGTCTTTGGCCTTTTGCGACAGTCTGTCTTGAGTGAGTTGTTTTAGCAAAACTAGCCACTTTCTTCTAACCACTGTTAATGTTTCTTGGCTCCTCCCCCAACTGAACGTGTACGTACAGATTAAAGGAACGGTTCAAGCAAAAATGAGTGTTATTATTCCCTTCTGATTCAAGTTATGAGCTAACTCCCGCAAGTTATTTGTTGTAAGTATAGCACAAATTGAGAAGATTATTTAAGTAGCATTTATTATATAATGATAAGCTAAAAAAAAATAAAAAATTAACGCAATAATTTTCATTTTTGCAAGAACTGTTCCTTTAATAATTTAGTCTCAACGTCTAACAGTGAAAAACTGTTAATGTTATTGGTGGTGTGACCACTTGTTATTGTCATTTGCATCCCACCTGCTGTGTTCCTCTTTTAGATTGTATAGATTATATGCAGACATATTTAAATACACTTGCGTACTATTAATTCACATGTAATGCAGAATATATATTTGAATATACAGTGTATGCATGTGTGTGCGTGTATGGATAGATCTATTGTAGAGCTTGAATGCGTGTGTGCAGGGGTGCCCACGTTTAGGGCAGCTCCTCCCGACAATCTTTCAATCATTGCACCCAGACCAAGCACAAAAACAGAACAGCTACACCACTGTACCACAGGGGGTGCCATTGTGCTGTCCCCTGATCAGCTGCAACACTGCCGGGCACAATACTGCCCTCATTTGGACCCACAGCCTAAACATCTGCGGCCTCAGAATGAGACCGCAGGAGCAGTTCACTTCACCATAGTGCCGCTAACCTGTGTCCTTTACCTTTCCATCGCACGTTTACTGTAGCGTATGTATTAGCATTCTTAATGAGATAGTTCACTCAAAAATATTGATATTTTGTCTACTCACCATTGTGCCAATAGAAATTAACCAACAAAAATTTATGTTTATGGGAAATACAAAAGATATTTTATTGGATGTCTGAACCAAGCAGGCACAGGACATCAACATGATGTCAGACTGATGTTGTACCCCAACGTCAAGGGGGCGCTACATTTTGTTTGAAAATTAAAATTGTGTTGACATCAGAACCCCAATGTCAGGCCGACATCAATGTCCAACCTAAAATAAACCAAATATCAATGTCTAATGAAGTTACAGCTTGGCATTGTGTGGACGTTACCACTATGACTTCTATCAGACGTTGGATTTTGGTCGCCTTACCTGTCAAATAAATGTCGGTATATGACATCAATATGACACTGGTTTAAAATGTTGGCTTGACATTACATTTTGGCCACTTTCTAACACAACCTAAAATCAACCAAATATCAACGTCTTTTGATGTGTTTATTGGACGTCAAATTAACATTGTCCTTAGATGCTGATTAGACATCGAATTTTTGTCACTCGTCATGGCTTAAATCTAACCTAATATTAACATCTTATGATGTTGTTTGCCTGCTGGGAAGGTTCTTTTACAATGAAGAAAGTGTACTTCAGTTTCGACAGACATTAATAGTGACAAAAATGTCTGACAATGTTGTCATTTATAATATTTTGTTTTTTTCCAATTGTTAAACAACTAGCCACCTTGTGTTCAAACTAAATAATGCAAAATCAATGAGGCATGAGCTAGCTAAATATTTATATTTATGGTGTGCATTATGCTAATTGTTAAATACCACATGTACAGCCTTGTGGCCTTTGTAATTTCTAAAAATATGCAAAGGCAAATTATGAGCTACAAAGAAAACAAGTGATCAAAACCAGGAATTAAAAGTTTTTCCAAAGAAACTAGTTAATTAAGCCCTATTTTATTTATTTCAGTAGTTCAAATGTTTTTGTTTGTTTGTTTGTTTGTTTGTTTGTTTGTTTTTTGTACATTTACATGCACTTTTAAAAATAAATTGATAATGAAATATTTTTTTTTTGCTTTAATCATATGCATTGCAATGTTCATTTAAATTCAATCCTATTACTATTTCATTACATTTCTGTTTGTGTCAAACCATTTTCATTGATGAAACAAAAGCAGACTAACGCTGATTTAAACAGAAAAAAACAAAAAAAACTGTTTACTGTGGTATAAAAAACAGCACTACAACACAAAAAAGAGAGATCCATTTAGAAAGTTACTTGCTTAAATTGAAAATGAATTAGCTGTAGCTAAAAAAAATAATAAATAAATAAAAATAAATGAACAAATAAAAACGCTGAGTTTTTCTCTCCTAAGGACTTATGTATTCTCTGTCGCCATCTTGTGGCTGATAGCCGCCAATCTCCAACATAATAAATATTTAAAATAGGCACTATGTTTATAAATAAGCTGCATAGTTGCAATCTAAACAACTACACTCTTGCCTAAAAAAGCCTCAAAAGTACTGCTGTCCTGCAGCTGCAATATTTGTCAAACTGTAGTGAGTTTATTGATCTGCTGTCACTATAGAGTCTGCAAGAGTGTTATTGCAGAATATCACACTGCTAACAGCCAATCAAATTCGAGTACCAGACAGAACTGTTGTGTTGTATATAGTTTTAATTTAGTCAAGCTGAGTTCACATCAAATGTGGAAATAAGTAGTACGTTAGCTATGCAAGTGAGCAAATAGAGGTGGATTATTGCAGTATGGTGAAAATGACATGGAATGCCTGACATGTTTGACATGGAAGTGCAGAATTCACCTTAATCACATAAGTTCACATAATTGAACACAAGCAAACAAACTGCAACTGGGGAAAAACATTCCATGAGTAAACTAGAGATGGTGACATGGTGGTACATGTTTGGCATGAACCCAGCAACAGTGTTTTGGTAATAAAGACTTAATTTGCTATTGGATCAATCAGCAACTGTGACTGTATCTCCTGAATGAATGATTCATTGACAAATGCAATTTTTAAACATGATAATATTGTTTTGATCCCAAGAGAAGGCATACATTTTATATTGACATACATACTGTAAGTTTAATCTTTAAATGTTAGGGTGGTTGAAATAAAATACTTTTTTTTTTTACTATGTATTTATATGGCAGCTGCAAAAATGTAGATTTAAATGTCCCAGTGGTAGAAAGATCTCTAGAAATATCTACAATTAACGTAAACATTTTATGGCTTTCAAATCACAATGGTAAACATGTGATGACAGAATAAATATATTTTTAGTGAACTATCTCTTATGGGTTCAATGGGACCAAAATGTCGGCTTCTCAGAGACCAATCATTGCATTAGTGTGCGTCTGCGTACTGTATGATCCACACATGACTTTGCTGTGATCGAAATGTTGGTCAGTTTATAAAAAGAAAAGCATTTCACAGAATATTAGTCATTTATATTTAAGAACACAGTCTAATGCTACAGATGCTTTGCTATTAGAGAGAAATTGAATACATATTCGTCTCATCTCTGTGCAGCTGCTGTGTTTGGCCGCTCTTTGTGCTTCTAAATAAATAAAGTCCTTATTCTGACAGGGATCAGTGTGTTGGCTTATTTTTTTTCCCTTTTCAGGAGTCTGAACAGGGATGACAAACATCAGTCAATCTTTTTTCTTCCTCTCGCTCCTTTAAAAAGGTCATATATCACTTGCCAGAATGAAAAAAAAAAAACTTCAATATGTCAGGTAAAATTTTATTGAAACCCTCCGGACTTGGTTATCTATCAAAATGATTGATTTGTAGCATTTAGCGTCCTGCTCTGCCAAATAAAACAGTCCATTTCAAGTCAATTACAAGCTCTCTGAGGTCTCAAAGTCAAGAAACAATATGGCCCCGATCAGTCTTCGCTTTTATACTGTGATGTAATTGGACGTTCCTTGGGCAATGATTCCAAAGGTTGGGCTCCGCGGTATTTTATCTTAGTTTGAAGGCCAGTGTTTATGGGCTAATAAATGCGTTTCAAAGAATTGTGGGGCGGCCAGATTTACGAATGCTCTGGGAGGGATGAAATACACCTCACTTAAGGAACTAAATACACACTCACACACACACGCACACATTAGTCAGGAGCTCAGGAGGAAGAGGAGCCTTTCTACTGTACAGGTGAGCTGAGAAGAGATGTCATGGAATTTATTTATTCATTTTTATTATTTAATACATTTTTTTTTTGCAGAATGTTACACAAGAATGTTTCCCTTGATTTGTTGTTCCATTGTTGGCAAATGAAGACATTTGGGATGTTTAGCAGGGTTTCCGCTGAGTTCATTTAGTCAAATTTAACTTAAAGACCAATTTAGGACTATATTGAAAAAAATTTCAGATTTAAATAGGATTAAAAGGTAAGGATTTTTTTTTTTTATAATGGTCTGGTTGGGCCAATGGAAAAGATAAAAAATCTAATTTAGTTATTTCTTTTCTACATATTTAAAATAATGTTAATAAGTGTTAAAATTGTGTTAATGTTCATGCATATTTTTTCAACAGATTTTTAATCGATATACAACACAATATTTCAGTGGATTTGAGACTTTTTTAGGCCTAAAATGTAGTTTTTGAGATTTAAGACATTGTAAGACTTTTTAGGACCCAGCAGACACCCTAGATTTTTTAGTAAGATGTCTAAATTATGCAATATTAACAATATTTCATTTTGGGATTAAAAGTAAACAGTTAAAAATGTTAAAGTCAAATGGATGTGAAATCGGCATGAACTTAGTTTGAGAAGTTGTACTTTGGGGTTAGCGTTAATCCATGCCATGAAATACTAAAAGGTGAAAAAAGGTATAACTTTAAGATAAAATACAATTTGTTTGTTTCACAACACTTTGAACAATGCAATAAAAAAAAAAAAATATATATATATATATATATTTGCCATTTACTGTCGAGTTAGCATATTCTCGTTGCATTTGCTGCAGTTATTCATTTTGAGGTTTAAATGATCCATATAAATATCAATTGTTTGCAACATGTTCATAGCTCTTTAATATATATATATATATATATATATATATATATATATATATATATATATATATATATATATATATATATAAAGAAATAAATATAGCTTAAAGAGGCTAATATTTTTTTTTTTTTTTACCTTAAAATAGTTCTTAAAAAATTTAAAACTGCTTTTATTCTAGCTAAAATAAAACAATTAAGACTTTCTCCAGAAGAAAAAAAATAAATTAAACATACTGTGAAAATGTCCTTGCTCTGTTCAACATCATTTGGGAAATATGAAGGTATATATATATATATATATATATATATATATATATATATATATATATATATTAGAGGTGTGAACCTATACTGGTCTCATGGTTCGGTT